CCCTTGCCTGAGTCCATTAATGGTAATAGGTTCGCAGTAACCATTATATGCGACCTAAGCAAACATTTAGTAACAATAGCCACACCGGATAAAAGCGCAAAAACAGTAGCTTCTGCAATTTTTGAAAGCTTTGTTTTAACATACGGCATTATGAACACTATAAAATCCGATTTGGGCACCGAGTTCAAAAATGAACTTTTTTCCGAATTAACCCAACTTTTAAAAATCCAGCACAATTTCTCGACAGCACATTACCATGAAACCGTTGGTACTATTGAACGAAACCACCGTGTCTTTAATGAATGTTTACGCGTGTGTTTAATTAAAACTTTGTCCGATTGTGACGTTTATTTGAAATATTTCACATTTTTGCACAATACAACTACAAGTTCTGTATTTGATAACAAACTTTCACCATTTGAATTAGTATTCGGTAGAAAAGCAATTTTACCAACCGAATTACAAAATGTAAAAATTGATCCGATATATAACATTGATAATTATTCGAAAGAAATCAAATACAGAATGCAAAAATCACACGCGCTTGAAAAAGAACTTATTAACAAACATAAAATTCGAAACCAAACGGTATATAACAAGACCGCGCGTCCGTTAATAGTTCATTTAAATGATGCGGTCTTAGTTCAAAAGGAACCGCGCGATAAACATACAAACATACAGTGCCGAACAGAAGTATTGGCACAGTGAATTTTTCGCAATATATGCAAAGTTTTTTATTCTAATTTATTTTCGATAATTTTTAATAAAAGTATTGTTCATTCTACACCAGAAAACGTAATAATAAAATCTCTAAACTTTGTGCAAAACTCAGGAAAATTCATTAAATTTGCACACTAATTTGCAACTTTTTATTCAGATTTTTTAGAAAAATTCTAAGTATGCAGTTTTATAGCCCATAGTATAATAAAGTGCAAGTTTGCAGTCGCTAGAAAATCGCATTGATTTTTGGTAATTTTTTTTCACGCAAGTTCTTCCATACAAAGTAATTCGACAATTATTTTTTGTATGGAGAAAATGAGCAACAGCTTCCACTAAAAAAATTGCCACAAAAAAACGCGATTTTCTAGCGACTTCAAACTTGCACTTTATTGTACTAAATTTGAATGGGCTATAAAACTGCATACTTAGAATTTTTCTCAAAAATCTGAATAACAAACAATACAAACAATATTGTATATTTTTCGAGCTACAATATTATTTATAATATATTTTTCCACAAAACTGTATATTAAGAATTTTTCACAAAAATATGAATTGGATTATTAAACCAAAAAGCATTTTTCATGCATTGTTAAAATCAAACTTTAAAAATCTTTTAACAAATCCTATATGTATACATATATATATATATATAAGAAACTTTAATTTCCATTTTTCCATTTGCAATTAAAAACATACTTGTGTATGTTAAACAAACTCATAAGTCATAGTTGCTGATCAATATCATACTTATCTTTATTTAACAATGCAATACTTTGCCAATTTATCAAATATTGATAAAAATAAGTAATATTAATTAAGGTTATACAATAACTTTTATTTAAATTTTTTACCATAACTTAAATTGCTATGAACGAACGAATGTAAGGGGAGGAATATTCCTCAATCAAACCTAAATTCGTTCCTTCAAAACAATTTAATTTTTTTTTAGTATCCATTAGGGGCAAGAAGAATATGGCAAATTTGATCACCTTGCCAAATTCTTCTTTTCCCAAGGAAGGTGATGTAATGCGATCAAGCATACATGTTGCAACCCTACAAATCACCTTACATGAATTCGCCTAAGGTAATAGATTACATCTAAGAATTTACGATATTGAGGATGCAACCCTGTTGTATCTGCGAAAGCAGCTAACTTTAAGTCTTTTAGTGAAAATAAAATTATCGGCATTATTCCGCGTACCCTAAAAGCGACCAGTTGTATTTTACTTAAATATCCGGGAATATACTATTGAACTCAGCCGGGCATCCAGCCTCCCAACCAGACACCAGCTATGTTACCAGCAGCAACTCGGGAGTGTGCGAGACGAATTCCCGCAAATTACAAAGTCCCGCAGCAAGCAAGCGACTCAGCAGCGGAGCGCCAGGGCTCCTTGTAAATGCCGGCGGAGCGCTAGGGCTCCCCACTGCGCGGAGGTTGCAGGTATGCCCCCGCAAATATGGAAGTGGAAGTTTTCCACTTTACAGTGGGTTTAATGTTTGCCATTTTAACTCTCGAAGTCTAACAGTTCATAAGCTAGAATATTTAAATTTTATTTTTCAGAATTTGATTCTAAGGAATTTATGGCAAACGTGTGACTGCCTACCAACTAACATAAAACTTAAATTGGTACGGTCTCTTATTGTCCCCAACATTTCGTATTCCGAATTGGTTTATTGTAATCTGGACAGTGAATCCAAGAACAAATTAAGTCTTGCTTTAAATAATACAGCCAGATTTATTTACGGTAAAAGAAAGTATGACCACATTTCAGAGTTCACAAAAAGCATCTTAGGCTCGAACTTGGCGAGCTATCTGAAGATTCGTAACATCTTATTTTTGTTTAAGTTAATTAGAAACCGCCAACCGTGCTATCTTTACCGAAAACTGAACCTAGTTCAATCGTCTCGCATCCATAATATTATTGTACCTAGGTATAAAACTTTAACAGCGCCTAGATTGTTTTTTGTTAGTGTTGTCAGAATCTGGAACTCCTTACTAACCTCAATTAAATGTTTAACAATGTTTGGATGCTTCAAAGCGGCAGTTAGAAGTCTTTTTAAGTAAAATCCTCCTACCTTCCCTACAAATCTTGTCCTGAAATATTATCTTTATCTATTATATATATATGTTTTTTTTTTTAATTCATAACTATTACTTAAAACTAATAGTTTTTGTTACCATTACTATATTTTTCTGTACTTTATTTAATTAGATTTTCGTTGAAGTTAATTTTGTAATTATTATTTTTTGATTATTTGTACACTGAAAAGACCTCGCGTTTTACTGTACTCAACAAGTTAATAAATATATCGAGGGCTTATATTCAATACCCTCTATCTGCAAAAACTCAATTTTTCAGGAGAGCAAAAAAACTGTTTTGGCAGCTGTTTTTAAAAGTGTTAATAATTTTAAGTACACACGCATGTCTTAAATATTCACGCAATATACTAAAACTAGTTTTTTACTTTTAACTCATTTAATTTTAGTTTAAAGATCAGATAGAGGTTATTGCAATTCGAATTATAACTATTTATATAGAAAAATTTGCGGATAGAGGGTTTTGCAGAATAATGAAAATGTCAGTTCTTTAGACGTAAATACTATGTTAAACTAAGATTTTAATGCAGAAATCATAGGTGTGAAAATTCGTTCCCTTCTATTCCGATGTGCCCAGGTAACCACATAATTTTAAATGTGTTTTTGTGTCAAAAGAGTATTTCACGTGATTTCGAAATTATATGAGAATCATTAGCACTGTTAAAAGAGGCTTCGCTGGCTGGTTTACTGTCCGTTCAGATGAGGAAATTTCCTTCGTTTATAGAGGCGAAACTTACAGCTGATTCGGCTGTAAATGCCGAGCAGTACGGGGGAAAAGCACTGAAGACAATTGTAACACCCAGCCCTTTTGTTACCACCATATCTGGAACCGTCTGTGAAAATAAGCTCCCAGGTAATTTATGAGTATCAAACTGGGCAAATGCCCTTGCGGTAGAGTTTTTACTTTAGTAAGCATCGGATGATGTCGAAATCTTTGATGTAGCTTAATATACGAAATAAAGGTGATTGCTTGCTACATCAGTTTTTTTGTTGAAAGCAGGATTCGACGTGAGAGATAGCTTTTATTGGCGAGGTGGGAAATGCACGGATGCTTTTTCTCCTCTGCTACATAGTAAGGTGTTTCTAGCAATTTAAGATGTTTTTTTGCGCAGTGTCCATAAATTACGAGCCCAAAGTCAACTTTTACATAATGACAGTTCTGCTTAAAAGTAGGTTTATTGTAAAAAATCATTCCAAATATTTTCAATGTATCAGTATAGGGGAGGGGTGTTAGACAAGGAGAGGGTTGGATGTATGTATTTATTTGTATTTTCTGCATATGTGAAAAAATTACTTTTTCAGCTTAAATCTGAGCTTCTGAAGATTTGGACCAATTGATTAGATCGTTTAGTATGTTAGAAAAAATAATTTTTACTTGCGTCAAGTCCTTAGTCTTAGAAAAAATTAAAATATCATTAGCGTATTTAGTTTGGCAATAGGAATAATAATAGCAGTTTCCCACTCTTGATGATATAACCCTTGAAATAAAATGTAGTTATGGAGTTTAATGACTCTATGTTTGATGGGATACGGATGATTTTTTAGAACGGGGTACGGGATTTTGTCTGCACCAGGGCTTTTGCCTGTCATCGAAGAGATGGTTGGTCAAACTCTTAAATAGATATGAGTAAGAGAGAATTGTGGGAATCTTCGGACCAAGTGGAGGCAAATAAACATATACACATCGCTCATTTACTTTAGTAGTGTCATAATCCAAAAAATACAAATTTTGAGTTGAGTATGCAGAAATTATCGCTACGTCTTCTTCTATTTCGTGTAAAAATATCATAGCTGTATCGATTAAGCCCTGTATGCAGCTCTCAAGAAAACGGTCAAGAAAAAATTGCCATTATTTCGCGTGTGTGTCCAAGGAATTTTGACATTTTTTGATACTTCACAGCCTGTTGCCTCACTCTTTCCTCAAGAAATAATGGAACGGGCATATATTTCTGTTGCAAACCTGGGTTGCCTTATGCTCTTTCTTCACAAAAAACTTTAGAAAACCGTAGTAGAAAGCGTAGTAAATTTCTTAAGAACTGCGTACTGCCTTAAGGAAATTTGACTCAAGAAAATTTCTTAGCCATTTCTTGTACGCCATTTTATATGGAGTTTTTGCTTTTCTTGAGAGCTGCATACAGGCCTTTACCAGAATCTCACTAGAATAAAATATGTATTCATTTTTAGTATCGGCGTATATGTAAATTCAAAACTTTAAAGCCGTCTTTCTCGAGTTTTGATTTTTTGAGTTATGACATTATTGTAGTAAATGAGCGGACATGTATATACCTGTAAGCTACCGGCCAAACCCGATCTTAGAATAAACTATTTTTGTAACTCTCATCATCAGTCCAACTGAAGCTACGCAGTCCACAAGATTTGGTTTCGGTTGGACATCGCATTAGGTAGAACAAGTTTAGCCTGGGCAAAACTAGTTTGACCTAAGATCGGATTTTACCGGAACATATACATACATGCATCGGCACATGTAACTTACCCAGTCTTTATTTTACCTGCCACAAAAAAATGGTAATGAAGCAAAATTGTGTAGATAGAGGATTTTGCTTTTGTAACAAAATGTTATTGCAGATAGTGGATTTTTCAAAATGAGAATATAATACCATAAAAGCAAAATTTTAAGTTTGGCATTATTGTCATGGTTGAAGGATAAATAAGAGCTCACGTTACCATCAAAAACTCATTTTCATCAAAATTGTAGTTAGAGGGTATTGAATATAAGCCCTCGATATGTATGTACAATTCCGTAAACAAGAGACGCTGCAGTCTGCGATAATAAGCATCTATTCCGTATTCATGAATTTATCATAGTTTTTCGTATAAACTAAATTTTTCGAACATTCGATGATATCCCATTGTGTGACCTTTGGCAATCGACTAAAATAATATTAAATTGCAATTGATTGATACATCCCATTTATGTTAAGAAGGAAGTTAAACAATTTTTTTAAGAGATTGAGTCATAAGTAGAAAAGTAATTTCTCCGTTTTTCAAAGTTAGAATCCGAAATCGAGATATGGGTTTTCGAAGTTCAAAATAGGGCCTTTGGTAAAAAATTGTTTTTAATTATTGTATGTAAATAACTAGAAAAGTAAAAATTTAGGCGTAGTCCGCCTTCTACTCTTGTTTAAATGGCATATAACTTTTTTGTGCAAACCTATATTACAGGTGCCACAAATTTAAAAAAAATCAGTTCAAAATTTTGTTTATATATCTATAAGGTTTTTAATTTTTCGAAGATCTGTCCTTTCACCCAATATAGCATCTGTAATATAAGTTTGCCCAAAAAAAATTTATATACCGTTTAAATAAGAGCCAAATTCGTATCACGACTATGTTTTTACTTTTTTTAGTAGTTTACATAAGTAATTAAAAAAAATTTTTTACCATAGGTACCGTGACCGTATTTATGAGAACCGAGTACGCGACAAAAAATGATTTTGGAAAATTTTTCCACACTGTTTTCCCTGAAACAGTATCCTTATAATCATCACAAATTTATAGGATAATTTTCTCGAGATTTTTACCCCTTAAAATTTAAAAAAAAATTCGTTAATTTTTAGTATAAAATAAAATATAAAAGAGCAATTTTAAGTCGGTAAGGCTTACCACAAATTTGTGGCAATTTTTTTGTTGATGTTACGCATTTTTTTCTAAAGATTCTAATTAAAAAGTTTGAAATTTTGGCGAAACATTGCAGAATTAATTTTTATATTTTTTTGCGCAAAGCTGGACATTTGGTATCATATAGTTTTTATTAGGAAAAGAGCTTTACTTTCATAAAATAAATAATAAACATTATATAAACTAAGGAAAAATAGCCAAAACTTACTAAAATGTCGAGTCCTTATTTCTATTTCAGCCACTCTATGTATTCCTCGATTCGAATCACAGGCATTCAGATTAGAAAATAATAACTGTTTAAAAAGAAAATTACGATCATATACCAACATCACTTAAAACTCGTTCATAGGCATGCCATTTTAATGAGCTGTTAAGGCGTCGGAACACAGAATATGTGTGTACATACACACGAGCACCAATTAATTTCATTTAAAGCAGAGTTGGGCAGAGAGAGCTTTTACAAAATGTATAGAAAGCATAAAAGAGCTTTGCCCGCGGGCAAGGCAGTGCCTATCAGACATTTTAAGAAATGGGGTGTAGTCCATTTCCGCTGTAGCGTGCGTAGTGCATAGGGCGACATCTACCTCTTGAACCAACGAGGTTCATATCTAGACTTAATAGGAACTTTGCAAAGCAAAGCTTTTATAGATGTCTGGATACTCAACATTGCAAGTTGATAAAAGCGTTGTACAAAATTGGAGATCGATTTTAAGCGATCGTTATTCATATCCCCACATACATATGTATGTACATACATATACATATTACTTTAAATATCAATTCAAGTATATTACAAGCTCAATCAAGTTAGCGGCGCTGAAATGAAAAAATGAAGAAAAAATTTGTTTGTATTATTGTGCTCATTGAGTGCTATTTTCGGCCGCTCTTCGTTTTTTTTTATGCTCCGCCCATTTGGTAAATAATTAGGACTTTGCTAAGTTAACCGTAACTTAGCAAAACATTCATTCAATGAAATATTTTCACTACTGGGCTTATTTATTTGGGCTTTTTATGTGCTTTCAAAATATTGCCCAGTAAACATTGCAAACCGCTTGACGTCACGCTATCTGGCCCACTTCTTAAACTTTGGTCGAACACGGATAAATATTATTGAGAAATTCCGTGCTGTTTTTGGGCTCTTTAGAGTCTGCAAAATAATTAAATGAGCTCATACAGTTTCCGAGATAAATAAGACTTTGCTGGGTTAACTGTAACTTAGCAAAACATCCATCCAGTGAATACTTTTTACTGCTTATCTGGGTTTATTATTTTGGGCTTTTTATGTGCTTTGCAAATATTGCGCGTTGAACATTGAAAAGTCGCTAAAAATATTGCCCAGCAGACATTGAAAAATCGCAAAAAATATTGCCCCGTAAACATTGAAAAATCGCCGTAGCTGACCAACTTTATAAACTTTGGTCGAACACGGTTAAATATTGCTGAGGAATTAGATGATATTTAGGGGCTTTTTAGGGCCGTCAAAACTATTTAAGGTGCTCACTCAGTTTCCGGGATAATTAAGACTTTGCTGGGTTAAATGTAACTAAGCAAAACATCTATTAAGTGAAGACTTTTTGTTTAACGTTTTAAGTTTATGAACAACTGTCAAGTGTACTCATTACGGTAAATAAAAAAATTTAACTTTAACCATTGATATCTTCTTAATTTTTTACTTTAGCCAAATAATTTTTGTAGGGTTGAAATCAGCACGAAAAGTTCTATCAAGCCGCATTTTGGTTTTTGCATAGCTAGATTGCTGGTATGCTACACTTATGTGGACGGAACGACCTGGGACTATTTCTGGCTTAATCCTGCAGTACGGGAACAGACTAAATGTCGGCAAGTTGGTTGCAGGATTGGATTAGCTAAAACACAAACCAAATGCAATGCAACCCTTTTTTGACGTCTTTGTTTGCGTCTTTGATGATCCAAACCTGCAACCAATTTGCCGACAGTAAGTCTGTTCCCGTACTGCAGGATTTAACCTGAAATAGTCCCAGGTCGTTCCGTCCATATAAGTGCAGTGTCAGAAATTGATGTCGAAAAAAGTGTTTACAAGATACGGTCAAATGCAATCGGTTTATAAAGATTATTTTACCGCTAATCTTGCCAACCCTAACTCACAAAATAAACCACAGTTTTACAACGTCTTGTTTCCCTAATATGTGGAAAATTGCCACTGTCCTTCCGATAACGAAAAACAAATCGGCGTGTAGCCCCAGTGACTTTCGTCCTATCAGTATACTTCCTGCGCTGTCTAAAGTAGCAGAATCTCTAATGTCTGAGCAAATCTACTACCATGTTAGTAAATTCAATCTATTATCGCCTTTTCAATCTGGATTTAGAAGTAAGCACAGCTGTTCCACAGCAGTGATAAAAATCCTTGATGATATTCGTATAAGCTTTGACAAAAATCACCTGACATTACTTTGCTTGCTAGATTTTTCCAAAGCCTTTGATTCAGTGAACCATGAACTGCTTTGCTTAAAACTAAAGAACTATGTTGGCTTTGGACAATCTGCAGTGCGACTAATGGAGAGCTACTTGGTAGGCAGGTCTCAGTGTGTAAAAGTTAATTCGAAACTATCTAAGCTACGACCGCTGTCGTCTGGGGTTCTCCAAGGCTCTATCCTGGGGCCGCTCTTATTTAGTTTGTTTGTGAACGACGTATTCTCTACTTGTCAACAAGCCAGTATGCACGCTTACGCTGATGACATCCAACTATATATGTCCAGGCCTCTAGAGCAGTCAGCTAATTTGTCTTCAGATTTCAACAAGGATTTATTATCTATCAAGTCCTGGGCATCGCAAAATGGCCTTTGTCTTAATTGTGATAAGTGTTACGTGTTACCTATTTGTTAGAAACGTCTGAACCTCATATATATCCCATCACTATACATTGGGGATAAATCTATTAAATTTGTATCCAAGGTAACTAATCTCGGTTATGTTATTAATACTAGTCTTACGTGTGTTGATCATATTAACTCCATTGTCGGTGTATTGTAGGTGTATTATACTTTGAGAAACTTAAGAATGTCTGCCTCTTTTACACCAATTGATATCAGGCGGAAACTTGCAATACAGCTTATACTTCCGATAATATGCTATCCTGAACTAGTTTATAGCAAGCTAGACTCTCAATCAGCGCATAAAATTGAGGTAGCTTTCAACCATATTACGCGCTATGTATTTGGGATAGAAAAATTTGGGCATATCTCTGCCAGGAGCGCAAGCCTGTTGGGCTGTGAAATCTCTGACTACTTGAAAGCTAGAAATTGTATTTTCCTATTTCGTCTTATGATGGATAAGACTCCCGGCTACCTTTATGAAAAATTAATATATCCAAAATCAACACGTGTAAGTGACCTAATTGTCCCTAGCTATAACTATCTCAGCTCTGCAAGGCTATTTTTTGTCAACGCTATTCGTATATGGAACGCTCTTCCAGATTCTATCCGTAGTACTTTGAATAAAAGCAGCTTTAAGAGTCTCTTGTATTCATATTTTCGCTAGTTTGTCTTAAGTTAAATACCTGTTACACTGAGATGTGCTCTCTTCGTACGTATATATACATGTAATTATATTTAGCCATAGTAATATCACAAAGTTTTATTTTATTCTAAATTTATACGACCTAATACCTGTGCCAGTTTTGTTTATCTTACGTTAGTCCTACTTAAATATTTTCATTATATCCTTTATTGTCTCATACATATATAAATTACTGTTGTACTACAAAATCTTAATCTTACTGTACTAATGCATAGATTAATAAATGAAATGAAATGAAAAATTACCTACACTTGTACATACATACATATGTACTTAAATATGAATGCATTTATTTCACTTTATGTGCCGCTACTAATTATGTATAGATTGCCACTGAGCAAAAACGCATCAGTAAAAAAGGCGAGTGCAGCACCGTACTCGTGATAGAAGTAGAACTTCTTAAAAAACTTATATGTTTCGATGGAATTGATTTCAGTGTTAAATATTTGAATAAATCATTCAGATATAGATAGGGTTTTTAGCCATTTATTTGGGAAAAATAAAACATTTAGATTTTTGTTTTCGTGGATCATAAATTTGCTATCCCAAAACAATTTATATCAAATAAAACGCCTCTTTGAGGTAAAATTTTCGATTAACGAAAGCTGAACTAGAAACAAAAAATTTATGATATCAATTTCGAATCGAAAATTATACACATTTTTTTAACTGCTTTGGAAACTGACGTACAATAGTATTACTTATTCGGAATGTTGCGAAGTTCTGTCTACTCTTAGAAACACAACACATAAGATCAGAACTTAAGCAACGATTCGTAAGAATAATAATATTTTGAATCACTTTCCAAAGCAGTTAAAAAAATGCGTATAATTTTCGTCACGAAATTGATATCATAAATTTTGTGTTTCTAGTTCAGCTTTCGTTACTCGAAAATTTTACCTCAAAGTGGTGTTCCATTTGATACTGTATGTGTCGCGTAAATGGTATTCAAATTATCTTTAAATTAGCATCAATACGTTTGTGATCGGTCAAATAGTTTCCGAGATATTATAAATATAAAAAATATAAAAGTTTAACTTGAACCTTTTTTATTGGCTTTAGTTTTTATTTGCGCCAAATAATTTTCATATGGTTGAAATCAGCATGAAAAGTTCTATTTAGCAAAAATTTTTTATTTCTTTATGGGTAAACGGTTGGTATTCTACACCACGGCTACTTCGGACTATTTCTGTCTAAATGCTGGAGTGCGAGAACAGGCTAAATGTGAATAAGAAAAAGTAAACAAATAAATGTCAAATTAAACTCTGAGTTTATTGAACACCCTAATGAGAACACTTGACAGTTGTTCATAAACTTAAAACGTTAAACAAAAAGTCTTCACTTAATAGATGTTTTGCTAATTACATTTAACCCAGTAAAGTCTTAATTATCCCGGAAACAGAGTGAGCACCTTAAATAATTTTGACGGCCCTAAAAAGCCCCTAAATATCACCTAATTTCTCAGCAATATTTATCCGTGTTCGACCAAAGTTTATAAAGTTGGTCGGCTACCGCGACGTCAAGCAATTTTTCAATGTTTACTGGGCAATATTTTTAGCGATTTTTCAATGTTCAACGGGCAATATTTGCAAAGCACATAAAAAGCCCAAAATAATAAACCCAGACAAGCAGCAAAAAGTCTTCACTGGATGGATGTTTTGCTAAGTTAGATTTAACCCAGAAAAGTCTTAATTATCCCGGAAACTGAGTAGGCACCTTAAATAATTTGACGGCCCTAAAAAGCCCCTAAATATCACGTAATTCCTCAGCAATATTTATCCGTATTCGACCATAATTTATACAGTTGGTCGGCTACCGCGACGTCAAGCGATTTTTCAATGTTTTTAGCGACTTTTCAATGTTTACTGGGCAATATTTTTGGCGATTTTTCAATGTTCAACGGGCAATATTTGCAAAGCACATAAAAAGCCCAAAATAATAAACACAGGTAAGCAGTAAAAATCCTCACTGGATGGATCTTTTGATAAGTTACAGTTAACCCAGCAAAGTCTTAATTATCTCGGAAAATGGATGCTAGGAGCTCATGATTTTGGTGACTCTAAAAAGCCCAAAAATAGCACGTAATTCTTCAATAATATTTATCCGTGTTCGACCAAAGTTTAAGAAGTGGGCCAGATAGCGTGACGTCAAGCGGGTTTTCAATGTTTACTGGACAATATTTTGAAAGCACATAAAAAGCCCAAAAAAACAGGCCCAGATAAGTAGTAAAAAGACTTGATTGAATGAATGTTTTGCTAAGTTACGGTTAACTTAGCAAAGTCTTTACCAAATGGTCGGAGCACAAAAAAAAACTAAAAGTGGCCGAAAATAGCACAGAATGAGCACAATATTACGAACAAATTTTTTCTTCGTTTATTCATTTCAGCGCCGCTAACTTGATTGAGCTTCTATTGCATGCGCCCATATATGTAATACTTCTATATTGGCGGTAAGCTAACTTCCCAATGTGTAAGCATCCCGAAATCTAAGCGAGACAGTCTAGTACGGTTTTTGTGTATGTATTAAGGATGTTTCGAATTCCATATTTTTCACATTCGCGAATGCGAATGCGAATGCGAATTTTCGGAATGCGAATGTTAAGTCATCGTTTTTATTACTTAAAAATTTTGTAAATTATTAGAAGATTGAACGAGTGTTTAACCTATACAGTGTTTTAATCTTGTAGTCAAGTTCAAAATGGGCATATTTTATTTCAAAGGAAATAATTTTCCTGCCTTTTCTCCCATGAGGCGATTTGTTAGAGGCTTGTATACAAGGCCGGCTGCACTAAAAAATTGCTCACTTGGAAAGGCGGTGGCGCGTCAAATATTTGCGGCCAAGATCTGATAAATTTGTCGTATTTTTGTTTAGTTTTCCACCAATCGAGAGGATTTTCACCGAGATGAGCCCATTTTTCTGTAAGATAGGCCTTCAATTGAGCTTTTATTTCACATTTTTTAATGTCTCCAGATTTTACATCCGAGGCTTTGCTTTCGCTGGAGGAATCTAAAACTATTTCTAGGTTGCGTATACGACTTTTAGCAGTACTTTTTAAAGGCCCATCAATGTTGCTTGATATACTATTTAACCGTTTTCATAAGTTCTATATATTTTTTACTTTGCTTTCAGTTAGTTGTTGTTGACTTTTTATTAAAATTCAACTCTAAAAATTTAAATTAACTAATAGTAAAATAAAAAATGTGATATAAAATAAAGCAACTGAAAACAAAATAAAGCAAAATTAAATATATAGATCAAATAAAATAAAAAATATATAAAATAAATAATAAAAACAAAAATTTTTTTCGCAATCGCTCCAACCGAGGATCGAACCTGGCAGCTACAGGCTTGTAGCCCGTAACTCTTACCACTCGGCTACCGTGGACGCGGAACTCGCGCGCTTTGTTTGCTTACTTGTACAAAAGACAACAGCTGGCCGTTTTTACCAGTGTTGTCAACGAAAACTGCCCGGATCCGAGTTAATTCCCAAAAACTTCGTGCATTTGTACAGCTGCTTATGCGCATTTTAAAGAGGAAAATGCATGAGTCAAAGCAAATAAAGGCTGGTTATGTAAATTATCGAGCCCGTTTGTCTACCGTGTTACAGCCACACTCAGAAACGTTTCTTAAATTAGCTCAAACGGGCACTTACCTAATGATCGTTAAATCTGTTAATTAATGTTTCCTCTCAGAGTTAAAAATTATGAAATACTAAATTTAAGTATGGCCCCAGTTGCGGCCCTTTATTTTTGTGGCATCACTCACTTTTTTCGTTCAGTTTGAAATAAAATATAAAAATAAGTATTTATATCATTTTGCGCGCACTGGCTCAACATACGCAATGGCTGAGTGAGCAGGGCACTGCGTGCCATTCGAGAGATCCGAGTTCGAGTGCCAGGGTAGGAACATTTTTTTCCTTTTTTTATTTATTTTTTTTCTTGTTCAATTTTTATAAACTGTCCTTATTGAATTTTTTTGCTTTTTTAATCTAATTTTCTTTTGATTTATAGATTTGTTGCTTGAAAAAGGAAACAATTTTTTAAAAATTAAATTAAATTTTTAGAAACTGTTTGCTGAAAGGCAAACAAGACCAATAACAGGCCAATTTTGGCATCTGTCTTTCAACTCACCTCAGTCTTTCGAGAGACAACTATCTTGAAAGCTCTTTTCTGTATTTGGAATGAGTAATTGAAAGATATGCTAATAGTGTTATTATATTTCGATGGCTGAGTGGAAGATCGACCTATCTCGGCAGCCAGTTCGAAAACCCCCTATCTCAGAAAATTTTTGAACAATGCTCTATCTCAGAAAATTTTTCAAGTACGCCCTACTGCAGAATTTGATTGAAAAACGCCCTATCTCGGAATTTAGTTGAAGAACGCCCTATCTCAGCTGCCGATTAAAAATTGCCCTATTTCAGCTTATTTTCAATGTATTTTCGTTTGAGATAGGGCGGTTTTGAACCAAATTCTGAGATAGGGCGTAATTCAACCAAATTCTTAGGGTGTTTTTCAATAAAATTCCGAAATAGGGCGTTTTTCAATCAAATTTTGAAGTAGGGCGTTCTTGAAAAGTTTTCTGAGATAGGGCGTTTTTGAACTGGCTGCCGAGATAGTTCGATCTTCCACCCATCGATTTCCAATCCATCGATTTATCGTTTAGCAATAAGTTTTCTAAAAACTAAAAGAAATGAAAAAATATTTTTTTATAACAGGAAAAACTAAAAATTTGAGAAACAGAAACTAAAAGAAAAAAAGATGAGTCAAAACAGTTTCCAAACGTTAAATAAAATAAAAAATATGAACTTTTAAGCAATAAAACTTAAAAAAATTTTATTAAAAAAATTTGTTTCCGAGCATTGAACTCGGATCTCTTGAATGACACGAAAGTGCTCTGCTTACTGGGCCATTGCCACTGTTACGTTCAAAATCATTCGTTAAAAAGTTAAGTGAAGGTTTTTGTTTACTTAACTTTAATGTACATTAAATGCTGTTAATGAATCATAAACTGACTCTGAGAGGGATTTTTTTCAAATCGTTACTGAGGGACACCTTAAGTAATCATTAAACGACTCTGAGTGCGGCTGTTGGAGCCATTTCAACAACATTGGTGTGAACACTCTGCCCATGAGCACATTCGCATTCGCAAAACATACGTATCATTTGATGCGAATGCGAATGTCGAATGCGTATGTGTAAAATGATGCGAATCATTCGCATAACGAATGCGAATGCAAATATTCGCAACATCCCTGGTATGTATTGTGTACGTGAGTGCCGATTTTGTGTATGTGTTGTGTATATGTTTATTAACACATGTATGTGTTCCTTTTCTTTTGTACGGTTTTATTGATATATCTGTACTGTAATGTTTTCGGACGGTACTAGCTCTTACTGCCAATATAGGAGTATTACATATATGCATGCTCCCCACGCTTTTCATTTTCAATCTCATAAATTGTTTATAATGACTTTTGCTAAAATTTCAAAATCAAAAGTTACTTTTTAGTCCATTAATAAAACCACGCATATTAAAAAGATTTTTTATTTTATTTATTTTCTACTTGTTAGTCGTGTCTGTATACAATTTTGCAACAGATATTAAAATAATTCAACGATATTAATTGATTGATGCAGCCACATGCATATGCATATGTATGCACATACATACGAGCACCAATTAATTCAATTTAAAGCACTGTTAGGCACTGCCTTGCCCGCGGGCAAAGCTCTTTTAAGCTTTCTGTACATTTTGTATAGGCGCGAGCAGAGTAAAAGCTCTCTCTGCCCAACGCTGATTTTAAGAAATGGCGTGTCGTTTATTTCCGCTGTAGCGTCAGAGTGTCCAGATTTTGCAATTTCGCTCCAATTTGGCGATTTGTTTTGGATATTTGCGCGTAAAAATTTAAGGAAATCGCCATTGGCGATTTTTGGCGATTTTTCCCTTCAAATACATTTTTTCCAATTATAAAAATATACAAAACTTAGTTTTCCACGATAATTTGGCAGAAGAGGCTAATGAACTGCGTAATAAACTTGACTTAAGAAGCATATTAAAAGACTGTGAAAAATGTTTAATCACGCTAATCGAAGAACTTTTGAAACGATTACCTAGTTAGTAAATACTTTTAAAAAAGCTTTGATTTGTTTCACCAGAAAAGTGTGTGAATCACAAGAGGGCGAGTTAAAGGACCTGTCAATTCACTATTTGACTTTGAAGGAAAGAAAAGTAGCGGAAACTGAATATTTAAATCTTTTAACCTTCCCATGAAATAAGTTTTCTCAGAACCATTCCATCCGACTCTGAAGAATTTCGGAAAATTGCTTACGGAGTGAAAGCCGCAACAGGCAATAAAATGTTTGGAAATACAAGTAAATTCATATTATTATTCTTGCCGCACTCACATGCTTTGTTGAGCGCGACTAAGATTCGAAATAGGATGAGGTTAGAAAGCCTTAATTCAATAGTTCCAAAAAGTGTTATATGAAGGCTATTGGTTTCTGCTGCAAACGTTTCCAATATCAAACAGTATGTTATCAAGGTTGAATAGCTCAATATATGACACCAACAGAAATGTAAATGATTCATACACTATAGGTGATTTTGAATAAATTGTAGAAATAGCTGATCTCGCCTTATTATAGGTTTTTATTTAATTTTTAGCGCCGAGCTCTTATAAGCGGATTGTGCGATTAATCAATTAATATGAGTTATAATAAATTTAATAATTGCGCAGTCCTATCGCAAAATGTGTTGAAACAAATATTTTTAAATAGTATGCGTATTGGGTGTAAAGAAAATAGTTTTTACATCACTATTACATAAGTGATTTGTGTTATTTATTATTGAAGGTATAATATTTTCGTTTTTATATATTTTATAACAAGATCTCATTTTTAAAATAAAAGATTTGTTAAATCGATTTCATGAATTTTATTAAAAAAAGGCGATTTTTCGCGATTTTTTTTCAGAAATTGCGTTTTTTTTTAACAATCTGGACACCCTGTGTAGCGTACACAGTGCATGGGGCGACTTCTACCTCTCAACTCGCCCTATGCACTATGCTTTTTATAGGAACCTGGCACACATAACACACAACACTGAAAGTTTCTGGAGCCACAACATTGCAAGTTGATAAAAGCGTTGTAAAAATACCCCTTTGGAACGAGTACTAGTTTTAAAACAATATTATAAATTTTTGTAGAAAAAAAGAATTAAGCCGCCCTGTGAACACACGTGAGTGCGATTTTCCTGCAACATCGTGAGCACTTACAAAATTGCGCAAATTCGCAGGTTTAGAAAATAACATAAATTCCAGAATTTCGAATTTAATGAAATTATTAAATTTCTTGAGACTTCTTATTTTTAGGATAATTTCCAAAATTTTAAAAACTATCGAAATCTGGGAAATTCTTGAAATTTTAGTAAAATGAAATTATTCTGAAATGTACAAAACTATTGAGATTTCAAAAATTTTAATAATTGCCAAAATTTTGAGAATTTTATTTATTCTGACGTCCATCCTAAAATGTAAAGATGTGAAACATCACAAATTGTCGAAAAGTTCTAATGTTCATTGTGCTTGAGTATAAAACCTGGAAAATTCTTAAAATTCTAAAATATATTAAGATTTTTGAAAAATTCCAAAAATTTTCCACTGTTTCTAACATTTATTTTGTGCTTTGTCTACTTCCGTGCATACTATTTTAGTATGTTATTCACGATATGCGTTGAAAAAATATTTCCCCCCCCCCCAAGAATTGCTGCTGGGTCCGCCCCTATCGTGCTATACTTTTGTTTCAATTTTTCTAAAGTTACTTGCGAAACTTACAATTGCTATAAATCTAACTTCCATTTTTGTTTAAGATATACAGATTTGGTGTTTTGCTAAGCTGAAAGAACGGTGCACTAATCCTTGCTATTTCTGGACAAATTTTGACATAATAAAAAGGATGAAATCATTTTAGTAATTCAAGTGGTTGTAAAAAATGCTTTTTTGTCGTGAATAAAGAGAGAAATACAAAAATAACCTTTAAAATAAGTCAAAGGAGATTTTAAATAACCGCAGTAGAACATTCAATCTGCCTAAAAACAACAGTAGATATACTGCAATTGCAGTTAAGTCCGAACGCCGACTTGTATGCGCGCAAATTAGCAGTTTTGTTATTCACTTTTGGGAGTGATCGTTCTTGCGCAGATAATTTTTCGTTAGAAATTTGCTTGAAAAAAAGAACAATCATGCGGAAAACAACCTTTTTATATGATTTGAAATGGCCCCCTAAACTTTATCGTTAAAACGCTCCGAGCCGATTATGTATTTACTAATACGGCTGATCTCAATGCCCCAGAGCTCCTCGGGGCTGTTTAAAAAGTGAGAGCCAAAGTACTTCAACCTTAGCCTCGCAAACGCTGGGCACCTAAGAAGGTAGTGTTGAGGTGATTCTACCTCGTCATCTTCCAGGCAACAGCGACACAAAGGGTCCGATAGAATGTTCAGCCTTACTGCGTGGATACCGATAGGACAGTGACCCGTTAAAACCCCCACCAGAAGTGATAGCTGTGGCTTTGTGAGTGTGAGGAGTGCCCACGACCGCCCCCGGTCCACCCTCGGCCAAAAGGATCTTGCGATCGCGCATCTCATGGTATTCGCCCAGCGTTCGCTGAGCTGACATGAGGCCCATTCATCCAAGAGCGAACCGCAAGCGATCAATGGCACCCCAGCCGCTCTTTATTCGGTAGTAACGTTTCACGGGTTCCTTCGCTGGCCAGCTCGTCAGCCACGCAGTTCCCC